CATGGACATAATCTTATTTGGCTTCACAATAACCCTGTGAACTGAGTAGAGATTATTACCTTTCTGTTTCACAGATGAAGAAACAGAGCCTTTGAAATTCATCAGTTTGCCCAACATCACATAGTTAGGATTTAATAGAGTCATGACTTGAACTTAGGTTTCTGATTGCCAATTTTATATACTTCATGTTACCTTTCTTAAAACTGGAAGAATGATAGGCTAACAGTGGCCATCTCCATGTCATCAGGTAAATTACATTAGGGATAGCACAAAGGAAAAATAATAATTTACCTATCTTATTCCATATTAATTATTTTTATATTTTAAAAACAGCTTTATTGAGATATAATTCAAATCCATTACAATCCACTCATTAAAGGGTACAATTCTGTGGCTTTTAGTATACTTAAGAGTTATGTAGCCATCACCATTATAAATTTTAGAATATATTCATTGCCCTAAAAAGAAACCCTTTTAGCTATCACTGCCCCCCTCCCCCCAATCCCCACCCCAGCCCTTGACAATCACTAATCAACTTTTTGTCTCTATAGATTTATCTACTCTGGACATTTCACACAAAATCATAAATATGTGGTCCTTCTTTCATTTTCTGTTTTCAGGTTTTATCTATGTTGTAGCATGTACCCGTATTTCATTTCTTTTCAGCAAAGTTTCTGCTGAAAAATCAGCTGATAATCTTATGAGGGTTCCCTTGTACATAACTAGTTATTTTTCTCTTGCTGCTTTTAAGATTCTCTCTTTAACTTTTGACATTTTAATTATAATCTGTCTTGGTGTGGATCTCTTGGGTTCATCTTGTTTGGGACACTCTTTGCTTCGTGGGCCTGAATGTCTGTTTCCTTCCCCAGGTTAGGGAAGTTTTTAGTCATTATTTCCTCAAATATGTTTTCTGTCCCTTTTCTTCTGGGACCCATATAATGAGAATGTTAGAGCATTTGCTGTTGTCTTACAGGTCCCTTAAACTATCCTCATTTTAAAAAATTCTTTTTTTCTTTTTGCAGTTCTGTTTGGAGATTTCCACTACCGTGTCTTCCAGGTCACTCATCTGTTCTTCTGTATCACTTAGTCTGCTGTTGTTGATTCCCACTAGTGTGTTTTTCAGTTCGGTTGTTGTATTCTTCAGCTCTGTGAGTCCTGTTTGGAACTTTCTTGTATTTTCTATCTCTTTGTGGAATTTCTCACTGTCTTCCTCCCTTGTTCTCCCAAGTTCAGTGAGCATTTTATGACCATTACTTTGAACTCTTTATCAAGTAAATTATTATCTCCACTGCATTAAGGTTTTTTTTCTGGGGTTTTATCTCGTTCCTTCATTTAGAACGTGTTCCTCCATTTCCTCGTTTTGCTTGACTCTCTGTGTTTCTGTGTATCATGTGAAGCAGCTCTCTTACCCTGTCTTGAAGGGATGGCCCTGTGTGGGAAATGAACCTTATTGTTTAACCTTGCCCTGGTTCTTTGTTGTCTCTTGAACTCTCTTTCCACTTGTTTCAGTCTGTGGGGTCCAGAAACACAGTCCTCCTGTCAGCCTGGGCCTGGCGCTCAATGGATGTCCCCTGTGCGGGCTGTGAATGCCTGTTGGCTTTGGTGGGGTTGTGCGAGTGGAATGGAGGTGTGTGGTAGCTCAAGAGCTGCATCTCTTGGTGCTGTGGCTTGAGCAGGGCTGTTCACACACTGCTTTTAGCAGGTTAGAATGAGAGGGCAAAAATGGTGCCTGCCAGTGCCAGCAAGGTAGAGGGAGCCTGTAAAAATGCCATCTGTCATCATTCCATCCCTGGAGAGTCCCAGCAGACTTCTGCCCCTTTGGCAGTTGCTGTAAGATTACTAAGTGAATTTCCCTCACAGATGGTCTAAGCTCTTTACAAACTGCTGCTCTTTGTGCTGGGTCCTGGGGCAAGTGGTTCTATACACATGCTATTTAAGAGCAGAGTCTTCATTCCCTGCCATCCTGAGTTACTCCTGAACATAAGCGCTGTTGGTTTTCAAAGCCAGACGTTTTGGGGGCTCTTCTCTCTGTTGCAAGACCCAAAGGTTGTGGTGCCTGGTGTGGGTATAAACCCCTTACTCCTCGGGGAGAAGCTCCGTTTATTTGTTTGTCTATTGCTTGATTTGTTGATTGATTTTATTAAGATTTCTTTCGATTGTGGGTCACCATATTGGGAGTGGGGTTTTTGGTGAGAGCATGCCTTTCCTACCCGTCTCAACGAGGCCCTTGTATCCTTTGTTGTGGAGCAGGTGTTTTGGCAGTTCTCAGGTTCTTTTCAGAAGGATTTGTTCCCTGTGTAGCTGTGTATTTTTTGTGTCAGTGGGAGGAGGTGAGTTCAGGATCTTCCTATGCTACCATCTTAAACCCAGTTTTCTTACCATTCCTTTGTAGTAAGTTTTTAAATCAGGAAGTGTGAGTTCTCCAACTTTATTCTTTTTCAAGATTGTTTTGGGTGTTCTGGGTCCATATGAATTTTAGGATCAGCTTCTCCAATTTCTGCAAAGAAGTCAGAAGGTTTTTGATAGGGATTGCTTTATCTGTAGATCAATTTGGGGAGAATTGCCATCTTAACAATAGTAAGGCTTCTGATCCATGAACATGTTATATTCATTTCCATACTCTTAAACAACCAGTTTTGTCAGTCCAGTTCTTCTAGATATGGATGTTCATATTAAGTGTGTTGTATTTTGCAAAGTAGCATTAGTGGAATTGAAGTCCTCCTGACTGGATTGTCAGGCATAGTGCAGAGGTTTAAGTATTGCTCTTAATTAAACATGACTTGAATTGATAGAAAACGATACTTGGAAATTATGTGAAGAAACTAGTATGAGTAATACCTGCTTTATGATTTTCATATGAACCTTCACATACAAAGTGGTATGGTTTGTTTTGTAGTTTGGTTTTTTAAATTATCATTTTTATCCTAAATATGTCTGACATAGGAGAGGGATTGCTTCAGGCAAACTTTCAGGTCTAGTACCTGGAGATAGGGGTACATATCAGAAGAGTAGCTTACATAGCTGTAATGAGGGAGGTCCTTCAAAACTTTGCAATAAAATTTAAAACCCTCTCACATTTGTGTTTCTGTGGCATAAATAGTCTTCTCCAGGCTTGTCATGGTCAAGTACCAAAGATGTAATAATGCTGATTGTACCAGAAGCACCAAAGACAGCTATTGGCATGCTATGTGGTGGGGCTCTAGGCATGGTTAGTTTGACTTAGTATTCTAAGAGGCCCCATGGAGTTTGTCATCTCTGACAGAGGACTTTAATGCATTAGTGATGAAAAACGGCTCACTACTGACTCTTGTGATCTTCCAGAGAGTGTAAGACAACGCAGCACTAAGTGAGTGCCTCTTGTCTTATTTAAACACATATATTCAGACCATTTGTTTGGGTACAGTGTTCCATCTTGTGTCAGCCTCATCAAAGGCTTGAAATAGAATAGGTGATATATAATATCTAGACATTAACATTTTATTTATTATTGGGTATAATATCTAGATACTAATATTACCTACTCTTGTTTTCCTGTTTTATTGCTTATGAGTGATCACCCAACTATTATAAAACTAGACTTTTTAAAAACAGGATATTCTTTTAGCTTATTTTCTCCTGTGTGTTGATCCTTTCCGGTTTCTTGTTGATCAGAGTCCTGTGGAAGAAATTGGTTTTGTGAGTCCTGTTGCTCTTCAGTTTGGTTAGTAACACTGTCAGAGGTGGGATCAGCCACACAAACACCTATCTTTGGTCCAGAGCACAGTTAGGGGAGAGGTGGAACAGATGTGTACTTAGGGTTGTCAGGCCCTGTTGTTCACCCTCCTTGTCTACTGCCCCACCTCCAATACATGCTTAGTAAACGAAAATCCCCAAATTAGAGATTCATTCTTTTGGATTAAGGCTTCCATCCTTTGTTAAAATTCAAACAGCATGAACTGTTACCTTGTTAAACATTATGGATAGTTTGGGTAATTTATATTTAATTGGTTTTGTATACAGAGCTTGATAGATTTCAGTGGGGGCAGAGAGATAGAGAACACACAATTCAATTACTAGGTACTTTGGAGGAATGTAGGAGAAAACCAGAAAAAAAGTAAGGGCTGCCTGGAATCATGAATATAGCTTATTTGGACCCTATTATTTTACCTAAGGACAGCCTTTTATGGCCCCAGGAATGTCTGTGATGACCCTCATCTTCCTTGGAATATTCTTAGAGCAGGGTTAGGAAACTCCAGGCCTGTGGGCCAAATCTAGTCTGCCACCTATTTTTGTAAGTAAAGTTTTATTGGAACATAACCATTCTTATTTGTTTACAATCTCATTGTGCCTACTTTCTTGTTACATTGGCAAAATTGAGTAGTTGTAACAAATATGGCCCACAATGTATAAAATATTCTGGCTCTTTACGGGAAAAGTTTGCCAATAAACTTGTCTAGAGAGTCTAGACTTTTAGAAGGTTAAGCATGGATCATAGATATCTTAAACTTATTTCAGACTTCTTTAACTTTTAATATTACCATTATGTGGACTCAAAGGCAGTGATCTTAAGGAAGGATCACTGCTTACATCAGGATGAATGCTTGTTCAAAAAAAAAATGTGTAACTTCAAAAATATTCGTAAAATAAAGGATGAGACTGCTATGTTTAAAACCTAAGTAGCCATTGGAAAATTAATATCTGATTATACATGTACCTGTTACACCAGCCTCTTTCAGGTGCTCCCATCTTATTACATGAGAAAAACGTTACAGTTCCCGCCATAGGCATTCATCTTCTATCATTTCTGAAGACGAAGTATTTATGTTAGACATTGTAACTTATTTAATTAAATATGAATATAAATATAAAATGCTAATCTCACTGTTGGAAATTTTAAAAGTGTTTTAGCTCAGTTACGTCTTGTCTTCCTTTCTCTCTCTCAGCTTGAAGTCCATGGCCCAAAATGACTCTACCACTGGAGACTTTCTTCCGTAAAGAGGAAGACCACACAGGAGGCTGGGATGAGCATGCCACTGCATCAGATCTCTGCCATTCCATCCCAGGAAGCCACCTCTGCTAGAGTCTACAGAAGTAAAACCAAAGAAAAGGAGAGGGAAGAGCAGGTATTGGGGAAATACCTTTCTTAGTTTTCATTATTTTTGTTCTTTTCATTAAATACAGTCTAGAATAAGCTCTGACGATCAAGATTTCTCATAACAAATTTAAAAAGCACATGGTGTGAACAGTTTTGCTCAGAAGAATTTGTCTTTCTGTAGGTTTCTAGTTTTCAGATTTTGCAGTCAACTTATTTTGCCATGATTATATCATGACTTATTTATCTTCTTTGGTTAAATATTTCTGCTAAATCACTGAGAAAAAGTTCTTTGGATTCTCAGAATATGATGCAAAGGATGAATTTATTTGAGCAAAAACATATGCCTGCTGCAAGGATGTCATAGTTAACATCAGAGCCTGCCTCTGCTCTCATATGGCTTTTGATTGGGCCTGACAATTAAATATGCATTAGAATCTAATAAGTGGTGGAGGAAGTTCAGGACCACCTAATCCCAGCCCAAGGCACCAGGAATGGCTTCCTTGAAAAAATGACATTTACATGGAGACCTCGAACCTGGAGTTAGCTAGGAGAAAGAG